ACTTTCATAAGAAGAAGTAGCTCTTGACTGTCTCATTCATTGTACAGGTACTATCTTGAGCGGATTGGCACCGGTAACGATGACAATGAGGCTTACCCTTTATCAACTTCATTAGCAGAGGTAGCTTTCGACTGCCTCATTATTTGCGGATTTTCTTTTCCGCCCAAACCAATTTTTCGCATAAAAGTCTTACCCGGCTTGCGTTGTGGCGTTCCGCGTGCCGCTGCCTGACTCTCGTGTTCTTCTGTCCATTATGTTGAATGGAGTTTTATCGCACCCACTGCTAAATGACCTTCGGGCCAGTTGCCTTCTTCCTATTGGTTGTCCGCCTTCACTTGCTTTTCTTTCCAATCTGAGGCTAGGATTCATTTATTGCGCACACCGTTCAAAGTCTCCTTGCTCATTTCCATACCTTCCTTGTATTTTTCACCTAATCTAAATTAGGCTTCCACTTTACCAGGAGCGTCAATTCCTAGCATATACTACAATCGCCAATTACCCGTCCACTCAATTGTCCCACCCGTATAGCCCCTATTACCCACCGGGCCCGATTGACAGGCAGCTTTAAGTTTGCGGTGTCAGGAGGGCTACCAACTATCATCTAACCGAAATTTCATAATTTCGGTTAAACGTTCGTGAGGTGGGTTAGCTACTGTGAGTTTTTAACTGACGGGGCCGCTACTTTGTGCGGCATCTAATATGTCTACATATTTACCACATCAATATCCTGAACCGATTCAGAATCTGTCATGTTTCATCTAGAAGTGATGTCGGGCTGCGATACGTTTATCAGAATTAACACCCTTATTAGATTCATCAGGGGCTCTAGGAGTTCTATCTTTTCAAAAAATAGCTCTTAAAAACCAACTCCCAGAAATGCGCCCGATTTTTTGATTCTTTGTTAACATCGAAAAGTGCATCAGAGTCGGCTTGAAATGCATGCATACGCCGGCTATACATATTGTCACGCTGTCAATGATAGACGGAGGAAACGGTATTCATACCCAAGATTCAGTTTCCAAGCGACGACGGTCTGTTAAAAAAACGTAAAAAGGCGTGACAGACAGGCTCTTTTCGAGAATGAGGCCCATAATGGGATTGACAACCAAAGTTAAATTACCTCAGAAGCAAGGATCAGCAAATAACCTACGATGTCCATTGACTCTAGGAAGAAGTCTTGGAAATTAAGAGTTTTTCTCATCCCGGACTGCTTCCGAAGAACAAAACAACGAACTAACCCGACTGAACAGGTATGTGGAGGAAGGTGTAGACGCGTGGATGCCTCAAGACAGTAGCGATCTCGTTCAGTTGATCCAGAATGTATGGGGGGTTGGTCATGCCAAGTCGAAGCATACAGCCAACTGGAATGACGGGCACCAAGTTGATGAGCAAATCTGCAAGTGTAAGATGATCTGGCCATTGGGCGGCCACAGCTGAGGATACGATCTTCGGAGGGAATTCACTGCGGGGCAGATCACGTCCATAGGCACCAAGGTCCTCAGACGTCAACCACACTTCCTTAACTCCGTCTACAATAATTACTACTTGTTAAGAATCAGTAGGTCTTGTTGAGCATTAAAAACTGGAAGACGCGGAATGCAATCCTACACCTGCAAAGGCCTCCTCCGCTCTCTGTACCAGCTCAGCTATTGGGTAGCTGGCTAGAACACCGCGGGCGTGCTTCGTTTTACAGTAGGTGCAGGCGTTCAGACAGCCAGTGCTGATAGCCAGGATCTCAATCAATGGATTTCGCCGAATCTTAGGAAGGGATAGAGGCGCGCCGCCCAGGCGGCGGTGTTTTGGGTCGC